CACAACGCACGCGCACGCACGCGCGCACGCACGCACGCACGCACGCACGCACGCACACACGCAAACACACACACACACACAAACGCACACACACACACACGCACGCACGCACACACACACACACGCATACACACACGCACACACACGAACACTTACACACACGCACACGCACACACGAACACCTGCACGCTCGCGCACGCACCAGCGCACGCACAAACACACACGCAAACGCACACGCACACACACACGCGCAAACACACATACACACACGCACACACGCAACCACACATGCGCACACACACACACACACACGCACACACACACGCAAACACACGCAAAAACACCCACACAGAGTGCGAACACACACGCGCACACACACACGCACACACATAACAACACATACATAATGTATATCATATAATATATAAATTATGCTTATGTATACGCACATACAACTAAACGTATGCATATACAAGTATACACGCACACAGGTATCCGAAGCGCCACGGCCGCCACCCTGCGAACGAGGCGCCACGGCCGCCACCCTGCGAACGAGGCGCTTCGGCCGCCACCCTGCGAACGAGGCGCCACGGCCGCCGCCCTGCGAACGAGGCGCCACGGCCGCCGCTATGCGAGCGAGGCGTCGCGGCCGCCACCCTGCGAACGATCGGCACAAATGTGAGAGGGTGCCCAACTCCATCTCCCCTGGCCGCCTGCCAATGCCAACGGGCTTGTAGGGGTGCCCGGGGGCGTCGCCCCCCGCGCTTTCGGGCGGGCGCGTTTGGGGGGCGGGGCGGGCTTAAATGCCCAACTCGTCCGCCGCTAGACGGGGGGGCAAGCCGGCGGCCGCGGGGGGAGGAGCTGAGGAGGCTGCGCGGCGGCGCGCGCGGGCCTTCGCCGCGCATATGCCGACGGCGCAAGAGGCAGGGGGGGAGGAGAAGAGGAAAGCCAGGAGCAGCAGCCGCAGTTGCAATGTGGTTGTCGAGCGCTTCCGCGTTTTCCTTGTTTGGGTGAGCTATCGGCCGCTTGTTGTGATTTGCCGCGTCGTTTCCCCCTTTCTCCTCGTCGTCCTCATCCTCCTCGTTCCTCCCCCATCCACCTCCCCCCCCCCTCCCCCTTCTCCATCTTGCGTATGATATCGTTCACCCTTGTCGGGGTCGACCCTATAGTGGCTATGCTGGGCGACTTTGTTGCGTGCGTCTTCGATCGCCTTCTGAATATCGTATGTGCATGTTTGCCTATTCCCCGAATTTGCTGGTTAATATGGGTACGTGTGCTGCGCCCTGTCTATGTGCGTCTGTGCAAAGGCCCTGCGTTCGACGAAGCAACTGTTGGATTCTCTCGCGCCAGCGCTACGACAGCCCGCGCAACTGAGCGAGCCATTGCCGCCACCTTGTGCCAGCAAAGATGGCATAGCGCGGCAGGCCCATGACCGCTGCTGTCATGCCATGGCAAATATGATGCGCTTCATTATATCAACCATGTCCTCACCAAAATAACATTGCGTCTTGCGGGGGGGTGCTTGGGGAGCGAAGTCCAATGCCATGTGCAGCGCCGCGTGCGCCTCGGGGGCGATGCGCCGCGTCCACTTATCACGCGTCGCTGCCTCGGTCGCCAGGGCATTCAGACAGGCCGAGAAGTCCCCAGTGGCTTCTTTCCCGCGAATCAAATCAGCACCAATAATTATTGGCTCACTGTCACGCTAAACGTTTTCATGCGCTACTGCGCTGCGCTGCAGTGCCAGCCCGAGCGGAGGCGTGCGTCATGGAACCACCGAGCCAGCTGCAAAGTCTGAACACCATCTGCCATCTGCAGCGCAAGCTTCACCCAGTCACTGCGAGGGGGCAATTTGTTCTTCAAGCCTCGGACATGCTTGAATGCCCGTGGCTCTGCGCCACGCCTCGTGGTCAACATGGGCCATGTAGAACCTCTCCGATCGATCGTTTCCGGCCCAAGTCCCCTCCAGAACGAGTTCCCTCAAGCGCGATGCGACTGCAATTTGGTGAACGCCTAGATCCACAACGCGCAGGGGGGCAACCCAGACCCTCCGCACATGGAAACCAGAAATACGGAGCAAGGGGGAAGGGCTGCCATAGGCCCGTTGCTCCCTCATGAAATTCCGATTCGCCATGGGGTTGTTGCGCAGACGGGGGCGAGATGAACAATGAGTGAACAGCGAACAGCAGACGGCCTGTGCGTTTATGAGCTTGCAGAGGTGGCAGCATTCATTGGCATTGCAATGCCTGGCCAACTTCAAATTCGCTAACAAGTATTTCCGATCTCCTCGCATCTCTGACCGCGCTCCCCGGCGTCCCCCTGCCGAGGGTTTGCCTGCTCGAGCTGTCCGCCCTGGCTCGTATGCTGCATTGAACCGTCTGCCTCGAGGGCCCACGGGGGGGGGCATTCACCGATCGCGAGCTATTCTAGGCGCCACGCGAGAACCTTCGGTCCAATGTCTTATCAGGAACTATCTTCGAATGCTGCGCCTCCGTGAAAACGATTCTAGAAAGGATCGTCTCATGGTTTTCCATCGTCCTGCCCCGCAGAGGCATGCTAATTTTTTCGTGGTAAAAACTCCTTCGTCGTCCCCGTCGATGCAGATGGGCACGCAGCTGGTCGGAGACGTTCGACTATCAAAAACAGGGTACTCTTGATGCCACGGAGTGGTCCTCGAGGATGGGTTCCAAACTATGTTCTCCCATTCCCCCCCCCGCCACGCCTCCTCCCTCGCCCCCCCCCCCCCCCCCTGATCCGCGAGGCGCGAGTGTTTAGAAGGGCCCGCCCTCGAGTGCTGCTGGAGAACTGCTAGTCGGCCAGGCCCCCCAACGAACGCGTGGTTGATAAGATCCACCTGCTTGTGCAAACTCGCGAACGTCTCACGAGGTGAAAGGGCGCGATGCGCTGTCATCAGCGCCACCAGTGGAAGCATCGACTTCAAACTCAAAAACCGGCGGGGGCAACTCGCGCCAAGGTCGTCCTGGCACCCATCTGTGCAGCGCTCGCTCAGCATGCCGATCTGGCGGGATCGTCGCGAGCTGCTGCTCGCGCAAAGGAACTCCAGCGCAACGATCTGCAAGGGGTAAGCACAATCGGGCAAAACGTTGAACTGATGGAACTCCTTCGCCGATGAGACTGAGAAGCTCCATCTCGAGTTCGTCGGGCGAGCCCTCAAAGGCCGCGGCTTCAATCGCATGGGAACTGGCCCGAAGAAAGTGCATGGGATAACCGCGCGCAGAAATCACCGAGCCTAGACGAGCTGATTCAATGATGATTCATGTGCTAGATATGTATATATATATATATATGAAATTTCTCTCGCCCTCACTCTCAACTCGCCCCTCTTGCGTTAGCATGCGGTGCCTTGTCCCGGGTGGCTGAGGGGCCTCGTCCAAATTATTTAATCGCTTCGCTCATTCCGCCGGTCCGAAATTGCCTCGCCGCTTGGAGGCCGCGTCGAGGCCTCTTGGGGGCCTCTGGGAGTTTGCGACGACCGCCGGGGAGCAACATTTTACATGCTGCTTGGGGGCGTTGGGAGGTAATTTTGACGCTTCTTTGAAGTCGCGTTGGGGCCCACTGGGGGCCTGTTGGGCTGCCTCTTAAGAGCCCATTGGGGCCTCTCGGGGGCTTCTTGGGGCCCCTGAAATTCGGGGCCACTCGGGGCACTTAGAGGATCTCGAGCTACGAAGGAGGGGGGGGGGGGGACCAGACTTCGAATGTCGAGACTGCTGAGGAAGAGGGGAGGGTGCACCGCGCGGCAAAAAGGCTGGCCAGCCCCAAAGGCCAGTCCTCGGAGCACATCATTGAAAGGGCAAGCGGCTAGCTACTCGCTGGGTGATCCAATCTGGAGCGCATGCGCACCCGAAGCAGCGCAAGACTTTCACGCCCATGATTCACCAGCTAGCTGCAAGAAGTCCACGCGAGATATCCCGCGGTGCCCCAAACAGGCAGCCGACAAGCACATTGAGGGAGAGAAAGAGAAGAAGAGGCGAGGGAAGGATGGAAGGAGGGAGCAGAGGGGGGGTAGAAAAGACAGGCAGATGAGAGGAGTGCAGAAGAGGCCCCAGAGGAGGAGGAGGGGGAGGAGGAGGAGGAGGAGGAGGAGGAGGAGCTGGAGGAGCTCGAGGACGACGAGGAAGCGGTGGTAGTTGTATGCTATCGTTCAAGCCTGACAGATGCATGAATGAAAATACAGATGCATGCAGTCGCGACACAATCGCGACACTGCCCTCGAGATCGAACTCATGACTCCCCCTTGCGACACGTGGCATGGAGGTCGGCAGCGGCGTCGACGCCATCCACCGCGTCGAGCTGCGCCTCCGCAGCCCTCATCTTGGTCTCGAGCTCCCCGTCGAAGACAGACGACGGCTTCTTGATGTTCTCGCCGGAGATCCTCCGTGCCTCCAGCAAGTCCTCGCTGAGTGAATCAGAATCACCCTTGATGAAATGGAACTTCTCGACCACGTCCGACAAGGGTGGTCGTTCGCCTTGCAGCAGCTCTTGGAAAGAAATAAGAGCAGACGTCACCTTGGGCTCGCTGGCCTTGATCGCATCAATCACTGACTGCTTGAAAGTATTCTGGCAGGTACCCAGCGCCTTGAGCACCCGGCCGATGGCCGACATGTCCGCCGACAATTTGTTGATCACCACCGTAATCAGAGAGCGCGGGGAAAGGCTGGCAGGCTTCCTGGCAGCCTTAGAGCCGACTTGGCCTTGGCCTTGGCTTTGGCCTGCGTCGGGCCCGAGTCATTCTCGATGTGGGGCTTCTCATCATCCCCCATGCCTCGTCCTGAGCTCCTCGCCAAATCTGCCGCCGTCCCAGCATTCATCTCATCGACGTGGCCCGTCAGAGTCGCGCTGGTCTGGCGGGCGAGCTCGCCCCTGTTGCCCTCGTTGTTGGCGAGTGGAACGTAATGGATGTTGAACCTCTTGTCCCGCTTGTGTTTGGCGTCATCGCTGCACCTCTGTTTGGCGTGCTTCAGCACGTCGTTGCAAAACTGCATCGTCTCCTCACTCGCGCGGGCATGGTATTTCGCATGCACTTAAAACTTGGTTGCCCATATTATGGTCTTCTCCCTGTAGGTCGACTTCGTCCTGGTGTGTCTCTCCTGCATGACCATGGCCGCGCAGCTCGCGTCCTGCGCATGCGCATGCAGGAAGGCGAACTTGCTGGAGTTCTTATTGGAGTCAGCCTCCCTCTTGGCCACGACCTCTGACGGGGCATTCGGTCGATTGAGCGCCCGCCCGATTGCAGAATGCAATTTCTCCCGCAAGGCCACGCCCGCGTCACCAGACGCGACCGCTGCCAAGATCTGCTGACCTGAGAGGCCCAGGAGGAGGGGGGGGAGGGAGCATGAGCGAAGTGGATGAGGGGGAAGAAGTGGAGGTGGAGGAGAAGGAAGAAGTGGAAGTGGGGGATGCGTGGTTGGTGCGGTTATTGCCCGCGCCCGACGTCGTCGGGCACGGTGCACGTCTTTCCCGCGATGCGGCATCACGCACGTCCGCCTCGACCGCCACCGCGTCAGCGCCCGGCGCGGCACGAGGCGTCTGAGTGGCTATGTCATTAGAGGACTCCACCACCATTGGGGAGATACTCGGCATCATCTTGGCCCGCCGCGGCGGCGCGACGCATGCTGACCCCGCAAACGGCGGGGCTGGCGAACGCACTGGTGCACGCGCTGACCCTGCCGACGACGGGGCTGGGCACGCCGCTGGCGCATATGCTGACCTGGCCCTGCAGGCGACGGGGCTGGCGAACGCGATGGAGCAGCGCCCTTAAGGTGACCGTATGTAAAACAAAAGAGGTGGACTGATAAGTCAGTTCACTCGTAACCCAACTCATCGGGCGCGGATGAGTTAACAATTAGCCGTCCACCCACTGTGGTTTAGCGCGGTGACCTTCCGCTCCTTGGGGGACCCAGCCTTCGCTGCAGCGGGCGACGCATAGACTGGAGCGAGAGTGCCAGCGGCATCCAACCTGAGCTCCTCGATCTTGGGCTCGACCAGAGGGCGGGCGATTGATGCTTGAACCTCCTGAAAGGAATCATGCAGTGGCATCTCGTCGTCCGTGGCGATCTCTGGCTCGCGCGAGGGGCGGGGGGGCGCAGGCTTTCGTTCTCTTGGCGGGCGGAGCGCCCATGGCGCGCATCTTCGCGTAGAGATCCACGCTGGGAGAGGCGAGCAGTCGATGCCAGCGACGCTGGAGGGGCCAAAACGGCTGCGTCTGTCCGACATGGCCGAAGACCACAACGTCAAAATCTGAGCGCATGGGCCGTTCAAAATACCGGGTAAATGCACGAAAAATACACGTTCGGATGTTGCACAATTCCTTGTGTTTTACAATGGATATCGCAAATGTGTACCACACAGTCGCCAAAATGCTCAAACAATACACGGTCCCGAAATTGAGCGTTTCTCTTCTTGATTGCAGGGGGTCCGCCGTCAAACTATAGAATTGGCAGTCAGGCAGCTCCACGTCCAAACGAAGCGACCCACGTGGAGAGACGCGCGCAGACTTTAAGGCCCAGGAGGCCGTGGAGGCGCGGCATTGCAGCAGTGCGAGGCCATTTCGAAAAGTCTTACGAGGTACATGTTTAGGAACAGATGTCCAGAGACCCCTTACGACTGCTACTACTATTACTACTACTGCTACTATTACTACTACTATTTACTACTAGTACTACTACTACTACTACTACTACTACAACTACTACTACTACTACTACTACTACTGCCACTACTACTATTACTACTACCACCACCACCACCACTAGTAGTACTACTACTACTACTACTACAACTACTACTGCTACTGCTACTGCTACTGCGACTGCTACTACTACTACTACTACTACTACTACTACTACTACTACTACTTACTACTTACTACTACTTACTACTACTTACTACTACTTACTACTACTTACTACTACTTACTACGACTTACGACTACTTACGACTACTTACTACTACGACTACTACTACTACTACTACTACTATCACGCCTACTACTCCTACTCCTCCTACTACTACTACTACTACTACTACTACTACTACTACTGCTACTTTTTCTACTGCTGCCACTACTACTATTACTGGGCATCGCAGGGCGCGGGCGCGCACGGCCGGCCTGCAGTGGAGAAGTTCACCGCGTAAACGGATCGGGGGCGGGGGCCGCGGCTGCGGCGGCACCTGCGGCAGCGCGGCAGCAGCTGAACGCCCCGCGAACGCATCGAACGCGGCGCCGCGGCCGCCGCCCTGCGACCGAATCGACAAGGAGCGAGGCGTCACGGCCCCCACCCTGCGACCGAACCGAAAAAGGTTGAGAGGAAGGAGGCGGGGGGGGGGGGGGGGCAACGCGAGGACGCGCAAGGGGGCGCAGGATAAGGAGGGGGGTGGGGGATAAGGAGGGAAGAGGAGCAGCGTTGCTAAGCTAGCACTCGCACCCCATCAAACAAGACTCGCCGCACGAGGCAGCGCCCAGGTCCGAGGGCCATGATCCACCACGAGCCCCCCCATTCGAAGCAGAAGCGAGATGTGCTGACATTGCTCGCAACACCATCTCCTGAAACTAGGCTGCTTGCATCAACTGGCACCGCGTGGCTTGAGATATCCCTTGTGTATCTATTTGATATGAGTTCCCTTGTGTGTCGATTGTCCTTATGTGTGCTTCCCTTGTGAATGCATTGCCATTGCTCATATTGGCACTATATGCATGTATCATGATGTATCCTTGTGTAGTATACATACTTATGTACCATATATACACCATGTGTATCATTATGCGTCGTATCAGTATGTATGTTTATCTACCATGTACGCACCATTATCCGTATGCGTCCTATCTTTGTGTTTCAGTACCATTACAGTTCCTAAGTGTATCCGATGTGTATGATTATGTGTCCTGTGTGTACCCTTATGTATAGCTTCCGGTCGTGATGTAAATTTTCGAATCTGCATATCCATGTTTAGCCACTGTGGCTCAATGCGGGTTTTAACTTGGCCCCCTCAAGTATGAGCTGACAGGGCTCCCAGTTTTATACAGGGAATCGACTTTCTACACCTCCCTCTGTGGTAGATGTTCTCACTTATCCTTTCCTTATGACTAGTTGGTGCACCTCCGCCCCTCATGTCCATCATGGGGCCATCATATGCACCGCCAGTGTCGATTTCAGGATGCGTCAACGTGCGGCAATTGAAAATCCAGCTCGGCTAGAAACGATCTATCAGGCAAAGCCTCGCACTGCCGCGAGGCCACGTGCAGCGCGCGCGCTGCGACAGCGCGCGCACTCGGAAGCGAAAGGTCACTGCGAAACGATCCGCGCGTCAGAGCCTGCAAAGCGCCCCCCCATCGCCTATCTCATTGTCAAGCTTAAGCGGGCTCCTGATGCGCGTAGATCCCCTCGTGAAAATTATGCGAGATTCGCCCAGTAGCAACTCCAAACCCCAAGGGGTGCACGGCGGAGTCCTTCAGGCCAGGCCCACCCGACGCGCGTTTCTCCCCGTCGCCCCCCACGACAAATGTTGTGGCAAAGGGGGGGGGGGGGGGGGGGTTCTCTAACGCGATCGCCTCCCGATCAAGCTCGTCAACTTTCTTCTCGAGCCGTTCGAGGCCTGGAGGTCAGGAAAGCGCCCGTCAACGTTTGGAGGGGGGCGGCGCGCGCCCGATGATGGGCGCGAGGGGGGGGGGGGGGGGGGGGGGGGGGGGGGGGGGGCGCGGGGGGGGGGGGGCAGACAGGGATTGGGCGAGGCGGGGGATAAGGGAAATCAGCATAATCGTTGGGCACCGCTCCATGTTTCCAGAACCCGGGACCAGGCAAGTTGCCCTTGAAGACGAGCCCCTTCCTCGTCGGTGCACCGCGCGCCCCCGCGTCAGCTTTTGTAGATCTGCCAGATGCGCATTCTCTGCGCAGGCACCATGCCCTAAAGGATTGAGCTCGCGGACTGCTCGATCACCAAATGGATGCCGAGGGCGGAGGCGAGCGCGGCCGAATAAGTCATGCGCGTGACGAGGGCGTTCGCTTGCTCAGTGCACGCTGACCCCGTCCCTTCTGGACGCTCAGCGCCCCTCTGCGTTGACCGCCTGGACGCCCGCGCCCGCGCCCCGCGCGGGGGCGCCATGAAAACCGAGCCCCCCGCCTCCATGGCCAGCAGGACGAGCAAACATAAAAGGAATCCGTGTGGCGCGCTAAAATCGTGCCGACTATCTTTTTTAATGTCAAGTGGACTTCCGTGATCTCCGAAATGGGCGATACCTCGGGGCGCAGCTTTTTTTACCAATGCATATTTCCATGAAGTCGCGGGTCTTAGGATGTAAATCAATAGGGCCCCTGGTCCGAGGCGCGCTGCCGCCGCGAGAAGAGGGGGCAAAACTTGGTGGGCGAGCATTCTGGGGGTCGCACGCCGACCCCGCAACAACATTGCATCTTGGCCCGAAACGGCACTGGTGCAAGCACGTGCGTTTCTACATGTTCCCCTGCATTGCCCGCGGGGGGGGGGGGGGGGGGGGGGGGGGGGGGGGGGGTCGAGGAGGAGGGGGGCGGGAGTTGAGTCTCCGCAGCTTGCGCCCCGCCGAATGATCGCCGCTGCGCGCAGCGGCGCTGGGGTCTGAGGTGCCGCGGGCCATCGACAGCAAACGCCGCGCTTGCAACGCAGCCCGCTTGAAACGGGGCCGCATGCATCGCGCTGTATGCTTCGGCGGTTGGGGGGGAGGGCAATGGGCGAGGAGGCGACTACTGAGGTATGAAGAGGATAAGAGGATGAGGAGTTCTGCACAGTCAAAGCCGGCAGTCAAGCTTGTAAAACGCAGCGGCCCATGCGTCCGCCGGCCACGTGGCAGACTCCGTCGCCTCCGCGAAGGCCTGCGCAGGGCCGCCGCGATGGTGGCGGGTGACTATGTTCTCGCCCCCAACAATTTAATAGTGCGGCGTTTTGGCGAGCGAAATATTGCATTGAACACGGTTTGCCTTCTCGTCGTCGCTGCTCAACGTCCAGGGTTAGCTTT